AACCCCTTCCAGCCCGTCAGGGGCCCGCTCCGGAAGTTCCCGGTCGGGTCGTCCACGTTGTCTGCGGGGCGGAAAGGACAAGGGTGAGCGGGGAGAGGCCTCCACCCCCGCCTGGGGCTCGCCAGCACGCAGCTCCCGCCCCCCCCCAGAGCTAGGGGAGTAACACCCCCCTGCCCCCGGCCTCGCGTGGGAAGTGCCCCCACCTTCGCCCCCAAACACCCACTGCGGCACCGGACCCAGGACTGCTCCGCCCAGGTCCCGTGATGCCAGCGAAGCAGTGCCAGGCTGGCAAGGGCGGAGCGGGGCCCTGACCCGCCAAGTCTCCTCCGCACCCCACACTCACCTTTGGGAGACTTGAGGAGGCTGACGCTAGGCTCAATCTTAGTCCAGTCGATGTTCTCGTCCTCAGGAGGATGCTCCACCATGAGCTGGAACAGCTTCATGGAGATGATGTCATGATTGTCTGGAAAACAGCGGCTGAGGTTGCAGAGGTCGGCAAAGGCCTTTGAGCCACACGTCCCCCACAGGGGTTGTTGCACTCAGGTCTCGCCCCCCCACAACGCCTTCAGGCTAAGCCCCCAACTCGGAGATCTGCCTTGGGCTCCAAGAGGCCTTGCCCAGCTTGCAGCTGCCCCCCGCAATCGGTCTCCTCTCCTGCGTGGCGAAGAACGGCTCCTGCTTGGGCCCTGCACTGACACCCCAGCGAGCAAGGCCTCCTCACCGGACAGATCCCCAGTGCCAGCAGAAGCCCCAAAGAAGTAGCCAGTGGGCAGCCGGACTCCTGCAATATCGATGCAGTTCTTCCACTCGTTCTTGTCCTCCACGTCAGTCATCACCTGTGCAAACACGCGGTTCTCACATACAGCTATGCTGCCCACCCACCTCCACCAGGCCAGGCCTGGCCAGCCCAGGTGCCAGAGAGCACGAGCCCTTTTTGTGCACAGGACCCCTTCCCGCTGGCAACATGGCCCCCCCGCCCCGCTCAAAACACCAAGACAAGGGGCACCAGACCCCGTGCCGCCTCCCCGCCCCTCTCACCGTCAGCCGACCCCTGGAATAGCGAACTGCCAGGAAGGTGTCGTGGTTCTGATTCCGCAGGTCAGCAGTGCAGCCCGCCAGCTCTGTCCAGCGCCCGTCTTTGCTGTGGTCGTAGGACAGGGAGCCATTATTCACCATGGCCGAGATGTACGGGAACACACGCTGCGGGCAGAACGGGACATGACTCGGAGCCTGCCCCACACCAGGACAGCCTGTACGGTGGGAGAGCCAGACGTTTCCCCCACTCCCACCCCTGCAGATCAGGCACACCTGTGTGCCTAAGGGAACAGCCTGCTGCGACGTACCCAGGGCTGTGTCAGGGCACCTCTGCCAGGCTGCGACCCCCTAGGCACACTATCCTGAGGGGCCCGTCACATTCAATGTGGTTTGACTGGAAGTGGGAGCACCTGATTTCGGGCAGGCAGTGGAGGGTGCAGGCTCCAGGCAGGGCCGGTCACCACTCTCCTTAACCCAACTACCCCAGCTTAGCAGACACCCAGACACACCATCCCACCGGACAAAGGATTCCTGCTTGAGGACAGCCCAGCCGTGGCATCCTCCTCCTCTCTTCTTTCCGCAGGACACTACTCTGTGACTCTGCACTGCGGGACAAGTCCCCTGAGCTCTTACCATCTGCACCACTGTGGAGCCCCCACCCCTCTTCCTAGGTAGTAAATGCCCAGGGACAAGAAATGGTCCTGCCCAGAGAACCAGTAGCTCAGGCCTGAGATGAGAGAGGTGAACCAAGGGGGACAGGAAGCAGACCACAGCAGTCTCCACAGGCTGGTTGGCAGCCTCAGGCCCTGCCGGCCCAACCATGCAAGGATTTTGTAGCCAGAGCAGAGGAGGTTTGAGAAGGGGTTTGAAGAAGAATGAGGTGGTACCGGGAGGATCCTCCCCTGCAGGGGAAACAGTGGGAAGGTGGGAGGGGGGTGGGCACAGACGATGCATTTGACAATTGAATAAGTGGGTGATGGAGGCAGGAGGCACAGGCCAAGTGGAGTAAAGCAATCGTGCCAGGTCTGTGCACGGGGCAGAGCGGGGGTCCAACACCACAGACCTGTCTTCCAAGGCAAGGGAGGCGAGCTGGGCTGGGCGAGGGTCCTGCCAGGCAGAGCTGTAGGATCAGGTTTCAACACAGAAGTGGTTTCTTTTGTCTGTGCTACCGCAGGGTCTGGCAGCACCCAGGAAAAGCCGAGCAACTAAGAGACCCCCCCGGGGCAGTTTAACTCCCTGAACCGCCTCATTCTGGAAGCAGGAGCCTGGAGGCTTATGTGGGTTTTCTACTTCTCTCCCTAATGACAGCAGAATTAAATGACCTAGAAACGGGTCCGGTGTAGCTGGTAAGACAAGAGGATGGACTAAGCAAACTGCAGCCCTCCCCTCTGTTGTGACCACGCGTACCGCTCCCCAGGAGACGAGAAGAGAGAGCACGATGCCAGCACCGGTCTCCTCCCCATGCAGCACGTTCTGTGCGGCCGCAGCAAGCCCAGACCAGGCGCCTGGCTACGCCTCCCAGCGCTAGCCAGGCGCTGAGCCACCTACCTCGGTCGCTTCATCGTTTGGGTAGGTGTCCAGGAAGATGGCCAGGCCGTGGAAGTTATCCTTGCTGCCAAACACAGGACCTAGAAGAGTCAAACAGAGCAGGGAGCTCTACCGCAGAGGCGCAGGCAGCCCCTGTCCCTGTCCAGAGCACATGACACCAACTAGTCTAGTGAGACCCTGCGCTTCGTGCTGCTGTGCCAGTCCTGGTGGGCTTCCCAATCGGCCTGTGCAGCGTGGGGCCACCCCACGGCCCGTGCACGTGCCACTGACCAGCGACGGCACGAGGGTGGGAGCGAGGGACCTTTGACGTGCTGCAGCACGCAGCTTCTCTGCAGGACGGCGCTTGGCTCAGGGTCTGGTGCCCAGGGGCAGCAGCAAGACCCGCGCGACTGACGCACGACAACCAGCCCGGCACCTGCCAGGACAGGCTGCGCCGCGA